GGTATAAACTCTGAAGTCATGAAGAAGTCTAAAAACCTACTGCGTCACCTAATTAGCTGCTTGATTAACGTTTACCTTAGACTTTCTACGTTTCTGGAGTACCATAGCAAGTAATTTCAAAGAATGAACAACAAGTTGAGTTTGTGCAACCAAAACTTCAACAATTAGGCCGTGGACATAATTCTAAGAGTTCAGAAACTACGAAATGGGAGAAGCAGAAGACGCTAGTATGGAGATTACTTCTTACAGCTCTGCAAAATAACAGTTTGTTAATATTTTGAAGTAAAATACAACTTTTGTAACAAATTTTCAACGTCTAAAGCATGTGGATTTTTACAGCAGGTGTCTTCGGCCTTCAGAAGCGGCCCCAGATAATTTCGCCATTGTAAAATACATCGGATTACTGTAAAAACAGCAGGTTTTCTTCACTTCCACATCCCTTTGTGGCCTGTAGTTCTCGATACCAAAAAATCGTCATCACGAAAATTTGATATGTTATAGCAAAAAATTCTATACAATATATGTCCTTTCTAAGAAATTTAAAAACACGTTTTTTCCCATGTTTGTTTTAAATATTATTTCTACTATACCTATGTGATTTTTCATCCGAATTAAAACATTTAACATACATTTAAATATACATTTAAAATTAAGAACATGAGAAACCTGACAAATGAAAAACTGTTAAATTCTATTAAGAAGCATATATTGTTTAGCGTTAAAAGTATTTCATAAGGCTACCTTCTGTGTGGGAATCTGTTCTATTTTACACGCTTAAGGGCCCTGACATTGAAGTTGAAGTTGAGGATCCTGTTGCAAGTTTGAATTAACAGAATGACATGAAAACATGGAGCTATATGTGTGCTCGCCTTAACAACAGTGTTGTCACAGATTGGTTGAAGGTTGTAACTCGCAATCTAATTTCTTTATATTTGAGCTGAAGATACCCTTCTTTCACTCGTTTGCTGACATTTCATCTCCGTCTGTCATGCGTATGAAGCCTTTCAGTTTTGGACACAGGGGCTTGAGGAAAGGAAACTAATAAAGTGCCGACGGGGCAGCCACGATGAAGAGCAGTATAAAAATCCAGTCCACTATTTGGCATAAACTGTCTTAGATAAATAATGAAGTCCTGAATTTCCAAACAGAGACTCGTTACTTTACCTTTGAATACTATTAAAACTCAGAACCACAAACATATTTATATATATACGTCCGTTTATATTTGTAGTAGTGGCGCCCAACTTATAAAAGCATTCTGGGAAGACCGTTCAAGAAAATAATAGAAGGAAGCAACATGGTCAAGGTGGACTGAGAAAGTTGAAAGCTAGCCAACATTTGAAAGCAGTGCTAAAAATTTTCATGAATATCTAAAATGACAAAACGGCTTGCCACCAGCTGCAAGCTGAAAAGGAGCGGCTATGTTTAGATATGCTTTGTATAAGGTCTGATTGGGTAAATGATCTTGAGAACTAGTTAACTGTCAACTAACGATGACATTCTGAGCGAGTGTTTTCTTTAATTGCAATCTGCGTTGCACTATATTGACATACGCAACTGATCATTGTGGTTCGCTACATGTCGGGAGTAGTTTTCCTCTGGTGTGATGAGTCTGCAGTTAGTTTTAGGAATTCCATTTTCGGAGTTACTGGGGCCAAGTGGTGCAAAAAATGCAAAAAGTTCTGATAGAATTGGGGTGCAGTTATTTATCAGCGGTGAAACTACTTCAGAGAAGCTAGTTTGATTGTCGTTTTTGTCTTAGCGTTCCATGTCCCGTTGGCTTGGACTCAGTTTTTGGCAATGTTATTGTTGAAATTGGTATTTCGTTGACTATTTGTTTTCTTTTCCAGTTATTTGGCAATAATTAAATGTTGATCACGATTAGCTAGCTTGTTTCAAGAGTATTTCTATGGGGGCTGCCTGTAGTTTTCTTTTCTAGAACCTTCTAAGCATGCGCTTGCTTTGGTATAGGATATAGGTGTTCTTACAAAGAGTAACAGATATCGAAATTTATATTTTTCGTATGAAACAGAGTCTTTTAAAGTTGAGATTAAAAGGGAAGAAGAAGAGGCAAATCATTGCAATTCAAATTAACTTCAAAATATATGCAATATGTGGAGTTGTTGAGCTTTTTTGAGCTGAAAAAAAAAAAAAGAAAGAACGGTTTATTGCTTTAAATTTAGTGCTTTTATTAGAGGACCTGCGGCTACTTAGTGCAGATAAAAAATTGATGATTGTTCTTCAAAAACTGTCCTTATCACTTTTCTTTCTGCTCGTATTTTTGTTTGTCTCTATTACTCATACATTAATTCTTCAGCAGTTTGTTCAAAATGCACACTATTTATGTCGTTCAGCGATCCACTTGCCGAAGCCGCAAATTGTAACACAAACTGTTTGCAGATGGAAAAGGAAGCGAATGGACCCGGCAAGAAAGGTGATGCGCCGCATGATGATAGCAAGGAAGATGGCAAGGATAGTGGCGCCGGTTCAACCGAAGAAACACCTGTGATTGACGTCAAGAATTTGACACCACCTCAACTGGCTAGGAGATTTGAAGTTATTACATGCTGTGTCGTCTTTTAGCTTTTTTTTATGTCTTTGCTTGCAGTAGACATCCAACCCGTACCCTTTTAGTTGTTTCAAACCTTTAACCTTTGAAAAAGTTGTCTTTTGCTAAAGCTTTAGTTGGAACTTATTATTACGAAACAAATCTTTTTTTGCCCTGGTTTTTTTTTTTTTTTTTTTTTGCTGTTTATTTGAAAGTTGTTGAAAGCAACTGTGCTGCACACAAAAATCACTTTTCTGGAAAAGCTTTAAATCTGCTTCTTTTTACTTCCCTTCTAAGAAATGTGTTAGCTTTCTTGGGAGATTCGTTTACCCGGTTTTTTGAGGGATAAATTGTGGATAGTTTGTTTGTACTTAGTCGGCTTAGTTTTTACAGCTATGAGTTTTCAGAAGCGGCTGCGAGCTTAACTGCACAAGACAAATATCTCTTCTAATCATACCTCCATAGGTTGACTGCTTAAATGTCATGCGATTTTGCTAGCTGAACTTGCATCTTTATATTCTCTTTTGCCACATTTA